CCAGTGTAGAGGAGAGCACTGTCTGGTGGATCACTAAACACATATTGTATGGAGGTGATTGTGTCAGAATATTTGCACTTCCAAGTAGCAACAAAAGAGGATTTGTCAGAAAATTATCAAATGGTCATGCCAGAAACGCCTTTATTGTTCAAAAAGAATAACTTCAGAAAATGTCAATCTTTTATGTAATAGTTTTGTAGCATTTAATATTATTCGTTTCTTGTTCTTAACCGTAATCCCCACGATACGAACTTAATATTAATAATAAGCTATTGACAAAAATTATGTGTGAGTTTTTCGAGAAACATGTACTGAAGGAAAGTATGTCCGTATGAAGCATATGTATTACATACTGGCCCTTAAAAACCATTGCACTCCTAGGTCTAGGGCCGTGTGCGAAATACGCATCAGTCGGAAAGCGCACGTTAAATCTCCAAAGTAAGTAAGTAAGTAGGTCTAGGGTAAAATAATTATAACCGCTGTACACATTGTATAAATCCGCGCAGCACAAACGCAAAAGAACAGTAAAGCCTATTCTTAATGTCACAATAACACCTTCACAGAATGCTTATGTATTCATGAACGCAAAAACCCCTGTAGAAAACGATACGAAATCAGTGACATCGATCAGCGCAACAATACAGCACAAACAACGAAGGTAGTCCCCCGATTTACGTTATGGAATCATTCGCTAGCCAATCAAATGGCATGGAATCACTTGCACTGTAACTGGGTGAATCGAAAGCAATTTAGATAACACCCACACCCAACTAAATCGTGTCTCTAAACCACATCGTGCATCTTCTCTTCCACGCAGCGCCTAGAATCAAGAGACCAGATATGTTAGTCATATAATAAAATGTGTTTCCGTGGCGTCGTTTTCTTCTCATGCGACTGTGCCTCAGCAGTAAGCTGCGAGGATTCTTGCACCTTGCTCTACGCTTTTTCGATGAACTGACAAATCACAACTGTCAGTTGCATATGCTATTTGAGTATTATTATGATATATATGTCGATGAATTTCGTTACGATATCAGACATATTATTTTTAAAGTATTCGATTAATAAGCTCACATATAGAGATAAAAAACAAAGTCCAAAGATCATCTCTCGCGTTTAATCTACCGGTTTCACCATTGTGATTTTCAAGAGTACAATGTAAATCATATATGTATATTCTCTGCAAAACAAGAAACGCAAAGTGATTTAGATTTTATATCTCATATACATAATCAAGAGTAATCAATTGTTCAAAATTGGCACACATCAATGTCATTGACCCAGGTTCCATATGGCACAAATGGAACAGTAGATTTTCAAGATGAAGGTCATCTGTTCTAAATATCTTTTATGGCCACCGTTAGAGTCCACTTGCACTTGCTTGATAACGGTGTTAGAACCTACACCAAAACGTCGATCCTAATTGTAATAAAGAAGTTGTTCATCCATAAATTCTTATCCTTACTTAGTACTCCAACTTCTAAATGCCTATCAAAGAAGTTGTCTTGTTGCCTAATGACTCGTCACTAAACCAAACTCGTCTCCATCGTAGCTGTGGCCATACTCTGTGACCTTGACACCATTGACGTCACAGCCGACAAATACGCTCAGCGCGTAAACGGTTCATCACCGTCTGGACTAATATCCTACGCAATCCTTGTTTTCCTTGTTGCGATTTTTCCATCTTTTCACCAAGATTCTGCAGTACCTCATTCTTTCAACACAAATCAATCACAAACAATGCATATATGACCATTTCAATTTTGGTATTAATTTTGTATGGATGTCGGCAACTCTCTGTAAGATATTTACGATTTTACTACGTTTGCGTTTCTTTTCTTCTTTTTTTTTGCAGAGTTTATATCCTCAAATTCTTTTCCACATGTATGTCCTTGGTGACAACGCATTGGAGGGTAGTGTTTTGGGCTGATCCATGAATTTCTTCATAACCCCACCCTCTGTTGTAAACGTCGAGTCACAATTATCGGGCATATTCTGCTGACTCAATGAGTACTCTACACCTAGCTACGTGTTAAGTCTTATACATAAAAGGAACGTCTAATTTGGTCAAACTAGGAAATACGCCCGAGTATATAACCAGCTTGATCATGCCCGGCTTCCACGTGGTCCGCTTCCGGCTTGTCACACTGTGGAAACTGTGTCAAGATCACATGACGTCACATCACGTGGCAAATACTGACAGCGCACCATCTATTAAATCCAAAAAAGGAATTCCCGAAGAACGCAATGTCAAATATATGAATGAGAGTTTTTAACGGTGACACATTTCGAGGAAATATCCCCTACATTCGTCAGTGAGAACCTCTGTACATTGCGCAGTCACCCCAACTGATCGTGAGAATGTTAATGATGAGTGGCGAGTCATGGTCACTGTTTTACCCACAGTACCAGGGGACTGTGTATATACTTAAAGTTAATTAGTACTCGACAAAGTTAAATTATGATCGCCGGATGAAGCTATGTTTGAGCTAATTCCGGATACAGTATGTCACCCTGAATGATTATGTCTGAACGTATAGTGGCGATAATAATTCTCACCAAAACATTAAGAAGAGTCAAATACGATTGACCAATCAGATTCCTGTTCTTCATTCGCCGTTCTACTTATTGTTAATACTTCCAATAAAATATTTGATGCAAGTGAAGAAATTTAGTTTTTACAGAACAAACAATTGAACGTATTATGATTGGTGATGGTGTACATAAGAGACCAATAGCAGTCAGAGATTGAAATGCGGCATTTGAAAATGGACAAGACATGGGAGAATATCACTATAACGGATATGACGTACGTAAGGAGAATATCACTGTAACGGACATGATGTCACATATAGGAGAATATCACCAGAACGCATATGATGAACATAAGGGAGAATTTCCCAACAACAAATATGATTTCAAACACAGGAGAATATCACTAGAACGGATATGACGAATATAAGGGAGAATATCACAATAACAAATATGATGTCAAACAAAGGAGGATATCACTAGAACGGATATGATGTCACACATAGGGGAATATCACTAAAACGGATATGATGGCACATATAGGAGAATATCACTGGAATGGATATGACGAACATAAGGGAGAATATCGCAAAAACAAATATGATGTCAAACAGGAGAATATCACAAGAACGAATATGATGCTAAACATGGGAGAATATCACTAAAACGGACATGATGTCACACATGGGATAATACCACAAGAACGGATATGACGAACATAAGGGGGAATATCACTAGAACGGATATGACGGACATAAGGGAGAATATCACTAGAAGGGATATGACGAACATAAGGGAGAATATCACTAGAACGGATATGATGTCAAACATAGGTTAATGTCACAAGAACGGATATGACGAATATAAGGGAGAATATCACTAAAATGGATATGACGAACATAAGGGAGAATATCACTAGAACGGATATGACGAACATAAGGGAGAATATTACTAGAACGGATATGACGAACATAGGGAGAATATCACTTAAACGGATATGATGTCAAACATAGGTGAATATCACAAGAACGGATATGACGAACATAAGGGAGAATATCACTAGGACGGACGTGACGGACATAAGGGAGAATATCACAATAACAAATATGATGTCAAACAGGAGAATATCACAAGAACGGATATGACGAACATATGGGAGAATATCGCAATAACAAATATGTCAAACATAGCAGAATTTCACTAGAACGGATATGACGCACGCATAGAATATCACTATAACGGATATGACACAATGGAGAAAATCACTATAGTGGATACGAAACACAACTTAAAGGGTAACTGATAAATATTGAAATGCCCATAAATAATCATAGAATTGCGATGTACGTTATTTGTTAGAATGGTCAGATGACGTTCCGCATACCATATACCCATATACATATGACTGGTGTCAAACGACAGTACGCTATACACCTGTACCCGGTTTGGCAAGCTAGGTAGGGGCACTTGGTGATACAAGAATGTGTGATGTCTATCACGCCTAGTTGTTGACTTTAGTCCTTCATCCAGAACACAGTCAAACTTGAAATACCAGAACTGCATAAACACGGTCGTATTTCGGTTGGTCTTAGTTTCATTGATGAATGATAAAGTTCTATAAAGTTTGATTTTCGAGGGAGATGAAAAGACTATTACAAAGAGATTATTCAATCATAAAATGGCATTAGTATTTGAGCATTACTTAGATAAAACTAACACAACCGTTCGAACGAATACAATATTAAATTTATTATGAAAACTGTCAGTTTTTTGAAGCAGTGACGTCATAATTCCCACGGAAATCGCCTAAGTACATAGTCGGTCGTAATATCAATTGAACAAATGAATATTTAATCACCACTTCAACTCATATTCCATTCCTGTGAATATTTCTCCCGGTCAAAGATATCTAATAATATGCTTCAAACAAATGGAACGTCATTCAGATGCAGTGGAGAGTTATTAAAGTATTAAGGGTGGGGTTTAGACAGTGTGTTTTATTAACAAGTTTTATTACTGGAAATTATACTTCAATTATACAATATAATTTTTATGTCGGCTTACAAAACAAATCTTGCAACACTTCCGTCTGATAAGAAACATTACATAACGGGGTAATCGTATCATGAAATCAGGAAGTGGACTTGATAGAGACGCGAAGTTGCGAACGAGACTTGGCACAGATTCCACTCGTTCCGCGAGCTGTCAACAGGTAAACTTGAGAAAAGAACACACAAACCAACGTTCTCAACAGAGACAAAGCGAAACGGGTGTCTTAACTTTCTCTTTGCCGCGCGCATGATGTTACAGCCAGTAACTGTCGATTGACGACACTCCGAGCACACGACAAACTGATTGCTCAGGTAAAATGTGGGTGACACGTTAGCCCCGCCCCGTCATATTTCACCTGTCAATCAACAAGCAGAGTTCCCGTGCCTTAATGTAAACACGCTGTGATAGGTAGATGTGACTCACTCTAATTCTAATCTGTGGAAAGTTTCACCCAGGTCGGGCATCGTATATTCCTGCTGAGAACTTGCAAGGGGGAATGTGTCGTCTGCTCGGTCAGGCGTGACGTAGCGGCGCACGCGCAACTTGCACGCGGGATGATGAAACAAAGTTGTAGGTGAGCAATCAATGAGACAGCCCCCATTTCTCCAGCAGCAGGTTCGTCGTGTCACGTTTAGCCACGGTGACATCACCGTCACTCGGTAGTATATAAGACAGACTGGGTCGCCGCTTTCAGCATATCATCTCTGTCCACTCAGCAATTAACTCACAGCTCATTATAACTGCCGGGACTCGTCTGCCTCATACAGATCAACAGAAACAAGCTGATTGCGAAACTTCAGCGTGCTGTTAACAAGGATTTTAAAACAAACTTTTGACAGATTCAAGAAGTGACCATGTCTGGGTTTACTTTCAGCACATTTTTAAACTTGGCTGTGTATGTTGTCGTCTGCTGGGTATTGCACGTGGAAGGTCGGCACGTCAAAAGAGCATGCAAGGTAAGCACCTGCCATTAACTGTGTCAGTATTTACCGATAGGGTATCGATCTCTCTCGATCAAAACATATAGATTTTTATCAACGTAACTGCCTTGTGTGGACTTTCTCTTCTTTGTTCATTGTTTCCGAACAGTTGACGCCTCACAGTTACATAAAAACACCTCTGAACTATTTATGGCACTGCAAATGTGAAAGATAGGCGAAGTATAAAGTGTTTGGGAATAATCACATAATTTCATATCTCGCGGTGCGTGTAAAACTGTCACTTTGTGCTCGTATTGTTCAGATTGCTGTATCAAGTTTTAACTTGGGACAAATAAAACAACATAGAAGGCTGCTGTGACCACTAGACTCTGAATGTTTATGCTTCCGAAGAAATTATCCATACAAATTCGTCACTAAAAGACATTATTTACATGTACCAATAACACTCTTGTGTTATACTATAATCTATAGGGTGCTAAAGCGAAAAGGTTTCACGTATGCCACAGTGATTGCAATAAAGTGCAGGAGTATGTATGCTTGTATTATAATTGGTTTACATGCGTCGTACAGTTCTAGACAGTTGCATTCACTGGTGTCAAAAGGTAACTGCTCTCCTTAACCCCTGGTCCCGACCAGAGACTTAGCATACGTGCCTAGAAGAGCTTTACGAATGTGACGTCTATTGCGTAATCCACCGTGGCAGTAGTAGCTATAGCGTACAGTACATATAGAGGACCGCGGTGACTGAATTCCGTTCTCAGCAGTATGTACACCTGATATATGTCCCTAGGTCTGGGTAAATAGTAGAATAACGAACTGAAGTGTCCTTTCCTGACACGTACATGGTTTCTAGATCTAGAGTAGTGAGTCAGAAACCAAACGTACACACGGCTGTAGCAAGGTACGCCTAGCGCCTATAGTAATACTTTACAAAACTATACAGACATACTGAGCCAGTTCACAGTTCAGATGGGAGTATGTCTGTTATCCCGAGTCAATGATATGAATACACGTTTCCTACCCTTTATATACAACCACAGATGTTAACAGCGTAACTCTCACACTGCCTTGTTACACACACACACACACACACACACACACACAGTCACAGATAAAGAGAGTGACAGCAAGTATCCGAATATGGCGCTTTGCTATCTAGCATGTATATAATTTGACAGTGAATTGATAGCTTTCAGCAATACCTCAGCTTAACGTGTATGGTAAAGTACATTCGGCCCATTCTTATGGGGAAACAGTATTACATGACACTGAAGACTTGAAGGGGTTAAACAACCTGGATCAGACAAACCCGCTACACTATGCATGTCACCGGGGTTCACTGACGACAGCATTTAGTTGACTGAGGTCATACATAGCTGAGACATGGCGTCCTCAACAAGTGGCAGCATCGTCGATGTTCCAACGTAACTCCCATCTGTAACGACAATTGTACAGCAACACCCCGATCTCCACAGCATACGGGAAACCAGTATATCCAGACAGTTACATTCCCTGCGGATATGTCTGGATTAACATATTTGGGGATAAACTATGGTTATTGAGTAATATACTTTTTATATATTTATAAGCTCCAAGCAGTAATCGTCCGGAAGTCGGGATTCCGGACTAACGCGTGCTTTACTGTTATACTGCCAACGATTGATCTACAAGTGCTTTAATATAGTTCTTCATAGACTGTCTAGTGATGTGCTTCATTGTTTGGGGGCATTCTATTTTGGCTAAGTAGATGGACTTGTTAGGGAATCATTGATATAGAGTGGAGTCACGTCGATCGTGTATGTCACATGCATGTGTGTCAGCTGATATGCTGACGTGCGTATGGTGATGGCTATACGTTAGGAATTAATCACACTTGTACAATAAGTAGGCAGTATTCACGTCGTAATATATTTTCTACAGAATAATAATACATAATTGTCAGGTACGTTCTTTAACAGCGCTGACGCAGTGTAAGACTAGCTGAAATCAATATAAATCCCGTGCACCTGCGCTACAGTGTATAATCAGTTTTACAGGTAATTCAAACCCATAAAGAGTATACACCGGTTCAACCATAGCGTCTTCAGGTAAAGGATGTCACTGACTGCGGAAATGGAATTCGAGAACTCGTATAGTTATTATGGGAACAGAGGGTGTGTTGGGGTTATCACAAGGAAGTTGGGGGTGGGGAAGGAAGGGGCTCGGACTTGGGGGTGGAGTGGGATGAAATATAGTTCCTGCCAACTTGTTTGAGACGTACAACCTAAGCGGAAAATGACGTTTTGAATCCGGTCATTAAATTCAAGCCACTATTTGTATATGCCCGCCAACTCAAGAGCTTTTCCACGATGTTGTAGTGTAGGGTCTACCTTTATAACAATGACGGTCTACATAATTCGGACAAGGGTCCAAACTTGCATAATAGTAGTGTACGTTTAGCGTAGAGAACTGAAATAAAGCTTACTGTGACAAATTACACTGTCCCGAAGTCCAGATATCGTTCTATGTGGAAAATCAATTTGTTTCGCACACGATAGTCATTTAAGCTGGCCCCACTGCATATGGGTATGTCGTCGTAAAAAATGTCCGTAGGGAATCTCAAGACCAGACTAACACGGGGAGCAAACGGGGACAAAGTGTGGTTGTCCAACGCCGGAGTATTCCAGCCATTTGACGACGTACGATGCCACATTCATGGTACAGTACCCAACGGCATGGATCGTTGCCCGTTTTATCAATCACTGATTTGCCTGTCCCAGGCCTGATTATGTACAGGCCGCAGTGACACAGCTGTACTGATAGCTCCGTTCCCTCACTCAGACCAACTGGCACGCCAGCGTAACCACGTGATTTGTCTGCTCTTTGGCCCAAATTGCACAAAGCGATCTTAGCTCTACGACTATTGTAAACCTTTGTTAAAGTATGGGAGTTACGATCATCTTAGGGCTAAGATCGCTTTGTGCTATTGGGCCAAGGACCGACTACACAGACCGCTTGGATTGCCTGACCACTGCTGAGCTTTATGGTAAACCCCACTGACGTCAACTGAATTGTACCCAACCAACTGCATGTCGCTTTGGATTTTACCTGGGATGGGGCGTCCATACACATCTTCATCCAGTGTTGATCATGTAACAAATTATCACGCACAGAAAGTCTTCAAGGGGCATTCTCTTGAAATGACGCCCCTGGTGCTGCCCATTCGACCCTGTCTTTTCCTTGTTAAATATAGCCAATTGTCGCTTATCTTCGATCAAGAACATCACCTATCGAATTGAAGAACACCTCGGGCCTAACGTCGAGCCATTATCCACCATTTAGCTCTTGCATGTCCTGTTCCCGGGCTGCCGTGAAAACAACATGCGTAAATGTACACACACCTAGGTCCACGACTGCAACTGTTGTTTTTTTCAAGCTTAGTCGTGTAATGCTATAATTCAATGTCCGCTTACATGGTTTGGTTTGTTGTTTTACGCCGCGCTCAGCAATATTCCAGCTATATGACGGCGGTCTGTAAATCATCGAGTCTGGACCAGACAATATCATAAGCATCGATCCACGCAATTGGGATCGATGACATGCTTCATACAAGTCAGCGGGCCTGACCACTCTACCCCGTTAGTCGCCTCTTACGACAAGCATGGGTTGCTGAAGACCTATTCTACCCCGGATCTTCACGGGTCCCCGCGTACATGGAGGGGATGGTGTATTGCGCATCCGCGCTTGTACGTCCGTTACATTATCTAATATCGGCAGGAGTGTTACCTAATTTGGATATATCCTGATACAATATCCTTTCAATATGTCATGTGAGTTGACACTCAACAGCCACTATTCAGTCTGACCTAATTCAGATACCCTACAAGGGAGGGGTCCAAAATATCAAAATCCTCTTTCAGACTCTCCTCCTCCCCCCACCCCCTTCCGATCCGCCTATTCCCCACATCCTATATACCCGACCTCAATCGGACAGTACCACAACTGCACCGTCAAATTTAACACGACCGAAAGCGTTAGCAGTTTCTTTTAAGGCGCTTCAATCAATAACCATTTCCTGCTTCGGTGAGTAAGTCAGCACTGGGTAATATTTCACGAATCAGTGACAATATTGCCGGGTTTATTGCACCACCCGGTCAAAGTTGTGAACGCAAACAGCGACCACACCGCCAGAAAGGCGCGCTCCACGGGAGGCGAAGGGTGCGGAGGGAACGGCTTTCTTCATGCACCAATATTGTCAATAAGGGGATTAATGCACGAGAACGAGATATCAAACCAGCTGACATTGGGAAACATGGCCGAGTAGTAACGAGGGATGGATATACTCAGGGGCAGAGAGTACATAGAGTAGTATACAGTCAACTCTCCTAAACATTGTCATTTTGAAAAATTCTACCTTCTATTTGATTTTGAAAATACATTCTTGGGGGTTGAATGTGCGCGTGTCACATGAAGACAACACTCGACTTTGACAGAATGCTGAGTCTGAACCAACATTGTTGGGCTTTGGCTTGTTAGCGATGTTTCCTGCTGTCTTAAATATATGTCCTTACTGTCTTCCTGTCATGTGACTTAAGTCTGTTCTTTAGGTCTACGGAAGTCGGTTCTTTAGTCCTAAGAAAGTTCGTATATGTCGTCTGAATTAACTTTTACAGCCTCGACTTGTGTATTGTGACGTGTATACGGCCTGCTGATTGTACAAGAGGGGTCAAGTCCTAACGTATAGCCATTAACACGTCACACATCGCCGAAAAACATTATACGCCTCTGTATTATTACCCACATCAAAATAACAAGGACATTAAAATATGTTTGCACAGTCCTCCTGGTGTTACACGAGAATTGACTGACTGCAGATCAGCCATTTTGTTGGATTATTACTTCAAAGAATAAGGCAAACATATATCTGTTGATTAAAACCCAGACAAACGGAAGGGGGTACACGTATATAGTTGATGGATGTCGACTAATTAACCCAGACTTGGTTCCGTCTTAGTTGACTGATGTGCGGAAGACAGACGTCCGCCCCCTCCCCTCGGAAATGAGAAACACACCCTAGATACTTGATAACGATTCAGAAGTGATAAATTCAGAGAAAATTAATTGTTTGGAGGATATGGAGGACGTGAGTCTTCGGTACCTCGTAGGAAAATGTTACTGCGTTTTGACATCGATCGGTGTGTTAATTAAACTTTTCACTCATCCCACGGTGTATGTTTCAAACCAATCTATAACAAACTACTTCTTTGCTACTATCAAAAGGAACATTATAGCGGCATCAGTACTACATCCAGCATAAAACATAACAGCAGCTCCACCACAGTTACACTTAAACACGACAGAAAGAAAATCTACATTTATACTTAAACACGACGCTACCTATACATTTACACTTACACGACGCAACCTCGACATTTACACTTACACGACGCAACCTCGACATTTACACTTAAACACGACGCATCCTCTACATAACACTGCTATGACAACATCTACATTTACGCTTAAACACGACACAACCTCTACATAACACTACCATGACAACATCTACATTGACGCTTAAACACGACACAACCTCTACATAACTCTACCATGACAACATCTACATTGACGCTTAAACACGACACAACCTCTACATAACACTACCATGACAACATCTACATTGACGCTTAAACACGACACAACCTCTACATAACACTACCATGACAACATCTACATTGACGCTTAAACACGACACAACCTCTACATAACACTACCATGACAACATCTACATTGACGCTTAAACACGACACAACCTTTACATAACACTACCATGACAACATCTACATTGACGCTTAAACACGACACAACCTCTACATAACACTACCATGACAACATCTATATTAACGCTTAAACACAATAACTTCTACATTCAGACTTAAATCAAAACAGAACGCATGTACATTTAAAACGTTACAGAACAGAAAGAATGTCTGTCTGTCATTCATGATTAAAACGTAACAGAACTTGTACATAAAATACAATAGGGGAGATGCTTGTTTTCACAATCATTCTAGCTGCATGACACAGATAATATACGTGTGAGATGCCACTACGCCTCGGTGACAGTGTCTTGCAGAGATCACCCCAAATATCTGAGATCTCCAACAAGATGGGTTCTGCCAGTGGGGGTGACCAGGCATATGCAACTGTGTAACCTCTAGCCATATAAATCCTTGCACTTGAAGTTAGATTTGGTTACACACTTACATATCCTCTTGAATGCTGACATTTGCCATTATATTAGTTCGCATGTGACGTTATACGTTTGTTGTGTTCTCAACACACGTTAACTGTGACGTTAAGTTCTGCCACTTGACCAACTGAAGTCTATGAACGTGAGTTAATCGCAAAAGTCAGCCGTCCTTCATTGAGGAATAAGTATTCCTCTGTTACAGAGAAAAACATTCAATCGCTAAATGTGCTGACAATGTACATTTGTGTGAGTTATTATTGCATCTGTCAGCATCACTACTATACTTTCCCGACATGGTTTTATTTCGTATGATATGTCTATAGTTTACGGGATATTTTGTGGTGGAAAGAAAAAAATTCGAAAAGATGCAGGTTATTTGTTTATGGTTGTTTTTCATTCTAAACGTGGACGTTTGTCCAAATCTAGTCGCTGTTTTACTATTTACCGATCTTCTTAGAGGTGTGATGAATAAATTACCATATATTTGAGTAGAATCGTCAAAGACTGATATTGTCCAAACTTGTTAAAAACCGCATTCCCATCAGAGTGAATGGACTACTTGTTGATCACGTGGTCTCCATGCAGAATTACAAGTCAGCTGCACGTCAAGTGTTTGTATCAAGGGTCACCAAATACCCGAAGGTTTTATCAGAAATCACTTTCAGAACATGTAGTCTCTTTAAAACATTATCGAACACAATCAAATATGTCATAAGAATTACCTAGCAATGTTTGCGTAAACTGAATGTATGATTGAATTAAACATCCTTACTCCTCATACACAACCAGCAGAATCTTCGCATAAATATGTATAGTCGCAAAGTCGTCGCAAAGCTACGGTGGCGTTATCCAACCTGTGGATGTTTGCTCTTTACATTAAAGCTGAATCGTCACCTCCCAGGATGCCCAGCGAGATACTCAGTCAATGAAAGACCTGCGAAGTCAAAATCGGCGGGGGCGTACGCTTAACGGAAACGGCCTCAAAGATTGGTGTTTAAACAGGGAGAATTCCACTGGTGGTTTAATATTCGCCTAACTAACGAGAAAATACGGGATTGCTTCATTTACGTAATTCAAACTATCCTGACCCTTTCATGTTGGGTGCTTTAATCCGATTTACCTTTGATATTTGTAACTGATTCTCAATGCGGTTTTCATGGGTATCTAAATATGTCAGGGCACTGTAAGGACGATAGGACAGCTTACCTCCGGTTGGTTGGCTTGACTCCTACACTGGTTAGCCGGTACTTCAGGTTTACCTGATACTGTCAGCACATCGCGTGGACGAGCGATAGGGATGTGCCTTTACCTGCTGCAGTCAAATGTCAACTTCACATCCCCGTGAAAAGATAATAATGAGCTTAACGCATTAGATATAGGGGGTGTTGTGTAGTACCTTGTTAATATGTAATAGCTTGTCACATCGGATTCTGTGTAGTCTTGGGGAAACTCATTAAGTCTTAAAGTAAATCTTAGATAATAATACATCAATCTGCAGTGTGATACTTGGACATTTGTAATGAAAACTCATTCTGCGTTCTTCTGACCTCTTATCAAAGTGACTGTTACATAACGACACAGTAATGACTGTTAACATATAGAGTTTGCGAAAAGAAACTTTTTATATAAAGGAGTAAATAAGAACTGTTAATATATAGGATTTGAGTCTCCAAAGTGACTGGTATCATATGGCATTTACATCGAGACAGCTACTGTTAACTTATAGGGTTTGCGTATAGCCACTGTTATGGTATTGTATTTGAGTATACTGACCGTTGGCATATAGTATTTGAGTTTTGTGACTTAACAAAGTGTATATGTGTCGTGACTCTTGACATACAATATGTGCGGATTGTGACTCTATACACGATGCTTTTGCAATCAGTGACTGTTGACATATTAAATTTGCTTATTGTGATTGTTAAAATATGGAATCATTTTACTTAGTGACCGTAACATATAGTGTTTACCTGTGTTCTGTGCATTAATTGTTCTAAAAATGTATGGATTACACCGTAGCCCCCGACACAACGATTCATGGGAGACTGGGTCCCGATCCGTTTCTTACGCCACCACAAACGACGGATAAGCTTAAGTAATTCCAACAACACTTAACAGGTAATATTTGATTTCAGAGCTCCGAGATTGACATCATGACTTCCAGCGGAGCAAAGATTGAGCCGTGGACATTGAGCCGGGTACAACTGCCTCGTCTGTCAAAAACCTTCAGCAGTGACGGGTGAGTGACGCATAGCCGTAACATACCAGTGCATAAACACCCACCCGATGTGCAGTGATGTATACCTGTACCGTATCAGTAGAGACCCCAACCCGACATGCTGGGATGTACGTCCGTACCGTATCAGTAGAGACACTCACCCGACGTGCAGTGATGTACACCTGTACCGTATCAGTAGAGACACCCACCCGACGTGCTGTGACGTACACCTGTATCGTATCAGTAGAGAAAACCACCCGACGTGCAGTGATGTACACATGTACCGTATCAGTAGAGACACCCACCCGACGTGCAGTGACGTACATCCCTACCGTATCAGTAAAGACACTCACCCGACGTGCAATGACGTACACCTGTACCGTATCAGTAGAGACACCCACCCGACGTGCAGTGATGTACACCTGTACCGTATCAGTAGACACCCACACGACGTGCAGTGACGTACATCCCTACCGTATCAGTAAAGACACTCACCCGACGTGCAGTGACGTACACCTGTACCGTATCAGTAGAGACACCCACCCGACGTGCAATGACGTACACCTGTACCGTATCAGTAAAGACACTCACCCGACGTGCAATGACGTACACCTGTACCGTATCAGTAGACACCCACACGACGTGCAGTGACGTACATCCCTACCGTATCAGTAAAGACACTCACCCGACGTGCAGTGACGTACACCTGTACCGTATCAGCAGAGACACCCACCCGACGTGCAGTGATGTACACCTGTACCGTATCAGTAGAGACACCCATCCGACGTGCAATGACGTACACCTGTACCGTATCAGTAGACACCCACACGACGTGCAGTGACGTACATCCCTACCGTATCAGTAAAGACACTCACCCGACGTGCAGTGACGTACACCTGTACCGTATCAGCAGAGACACCCACCCGACGTGCAGTGATGTACACCTGTACCGTATCAGTAGACACCCACACGACGTGCAGTGACGTACACCTGTACCGTATCAGTAGAGACACCCACACGACGTGCAGTGACGTACACCTGTACCGTATCAGTAGAGACACCCACCCGACGTGATGTGACGTACACCTGTACCGTATCAGTAGAGACACCCACCCGACGTGCAGTGACGTACACCTGTACCGTATCAGTAGAGACACCCACACGACGTGCAGTGACGTACACCTGTACCGTATCAGCAGAGACACCCACCCGACGTGCAGTGATGTACACCTGTACCGTATCAGTAGACACCCACACGACGTGCAGTGACGTACACCTGTACCGTATCAGTAGAGACACCCACACGACGTGCAGTGACGTACACCTGTACCGTATCAGTAGAGACACCCACCCGACGTGATGTGACGTACACCTGTACCGTATCAGTAGAGACACCCACCCGACGTGCAGTGACGTACACCTGTACCGTATCAGTAGAGACACCCACACGACGTGCAGTGACGTACATCCCTACCGTTTCAGTAAAGACAGTATCAGTAGAGAAAAACCCGCCTACCTTGCACTTCACCACCATTCTAGTTAATACGTAGTTGGCGCAGCAACACGAGAAACTGTACTTTTAACATTCGTTCGATAACCTTGAATTCAGGCCACTGTAGCACCATGTGTATTTTTGTGACAGTGTTAAGGAGTGTGGAGCGTTATCTTGTGACACATCATGCTGGTTAAGTCAGGGTGCTGAAGACTAATCATAGTTTTACATCTCCCATTTACATCCAGGCATTGGTTACATATCGAATACGGACCGATTATCCTGACTTTTTACTCTGTTAAAATACATAAGACATCACATTACCGCCCTCGCGTCCCTGCCGAGGTTATTTGTTTTCCAAGACTGTCAATTCAGTTTCCGTTCGTCATATAATTCTGCAAACATCGTTACACACTAGGAAGTATTATAGCCTTGAAACAGCTGTAAGCAGTCGTGTGGGTCGACGGAAGTTCTAAACGGCGTTGCGGATCAGAATTCTTACAGTTAGAGACACAATTGCTACAATTAGAGCCACAGTTCGTGTCAGTGTGATACATGTTACAGTTAGAGCCAAGATTGTTGTCAGTGTGTTACATGTTACAACTAGAGCCACAGTTCTTGTCAGCGTGTTACATGTTACAGATAGAGCCACAGTTCTTGTCAGTGTGTTTGTTACATGTTACAGTTAGAGCCACAGTTCTTGTCTGTGTGTTACTTGTTTCAAATAGAGGCACAGTTCTTGTCAGTGTGTTACATGTTACAGATAGAGCCACAGTTCTTGTCAGTGTGATACATGTTACAGTTAGAGCCACAGTTCTTGTCAGTGTGTTACATGTTACAGTTGGAGCCCCAGTTCTTGTCAGTGTGTTACATGTTACAGTTAGAGCCCCAGTTCTTGTCATTGTGTTACATGTTACAGTTAGAGCCACAGTTCTTGTCATTGTGTTACATGTTACAGTACATAAATAATGTTTCACGCCGTAGGGATACGACGACACGCGATCAGCCTTATTGTAACCACACCATCCTCATTAGTTGACTGCATAAGCATGTACTAGAGACCTACTTCAGAAATAGGTGTCATCTGTTGCAGTCACAAACTAACTTTCGAGTTCAGGACGACCTCCCAATCGGGTCTGTTGTTCTATGGCACCATGAGGAACCGGAGAGCGTCCAAGCTGATCGTTCTGCAGCTGGTCCGTGGAAAACTGTTCTACACCACCAGGTGCCCGTCAGCTGACTCCGGACTACTCCTCCCTACACCCTACAGGTTGGACGACGGCAAGTGGCACACAGTGAGTACGGGTGTACCTGGCTGGTTTAATTCGTGGGGGGAGGGGGCATGGGGAGAAAGATGTCATTGTGGGCTTAGGGTACATAGGGGTTAGCGGTACATAGGGAGGTAACGGTACATAGGGAGGTAACGGTACATAGGGGTAACGGTACATAGGGAGGTAACGGTACATAGGGGGTAACGGTACATAGGGAGCTAACGGTATATAGGGGGTAACGGTACATAAGGGGTAACGGTACATAGGGGGTAACGGTACATAGGGGGTAACGGTACATAGGGAGTTAACAGTACATAGGGGTTAACGGTACATAGGGAGTTGATGGTACATAGGGAGTTATCTGTACATATGGGTTAACGGTACATAGGGACTTAACAGTACATAGGGGTTAACGGTACATAGGGAGTTGATGGTACATAGGGAGTTATCTGTACATATGGGTTAACGGTACATAGGGGGTAACGGTACATAGGGGGTAACGGTACATAGGGAGTTAACGGTACATAGGGAGCTAACGATACATAGGGGTAACGGTACATAAAGGAAACGGTACATAGGGGTAACGGTACATAGGGGGGTAACGGTACATAGGGAGCTAACGATACATAGGGGTTACGGTACATAAAGGAAACGGTACATAGGGGTAACGGTACATAGGGGGGTAACGGTACATAGGGGGTTAACAGTACATAGGGAGTTGATGGTACATAGGGAGTTATCTGTACATATGGGTTAACGGTACATAGGGAGTTAACAGTACATAGGGGTTAACGGTACATAGGCAGTTGATGGTACATAGGGGTTAAAGGGTACGTAGGGGTTAACCGCCCAGGGGGGTTGACGGTACATTGGGAGTTAACGGTACGTACGGGGTAACGGACGTTGGGAGGGGGATAACGGTACATAGGGGTAATGGTACGTGTGGGTTAGAGGGGAGGCGGACGTGGGGAGGGGGATAACGGTACATAGGGGTAATGGTACGTGTGGGTTAGAGGGGAGGCGGACGTGGGGAGGGGGATAACGGTACATAGGGGTAATGGTACGTGTGGGTTAGAGGGGAGGCGGACGTGGGGAGGGGGATAACGGTACATAGGGGTAATGGTACGTGTGGGTTAGAGGGGAGGCGGACATGGGGAGTAAAGGTACTTGAGGGTAACGGGACATACCACATAAAAGAGTTACCATATGAAACTGCAATAAATGAAAACTCATACATACATGACCGTAAGAAAATAGTGTTGAATACTAACCTTTCCTGTCATAATACCCATTGTGACATGACATGCATAAAAGTCACATCGGTAACACTTTCAATGTGGAATGCACCAAAGCGGTGCCGTTGATCGAATATTTACCACTGCAGTTTGCACATCTTCCCGAGGCAAGGGAGTTAACTGTAAAAGTCCGGTTTCCACCCCTGCCGAACTATCGATCGTAGCGCCATCAGTAGCTATTACGGGATATGTCCCGTCTATGTACCTCCTACTGACCAATCACATTCCACTTCATATCACTTGCATTGCTTCAAACACAATTGCAGCTCAAGACGATCTGATCGATAATCAAGATCTCTATGTAATAAAACGGGCCCTACTCGCAAAGTGCCTCAAATCACGTGAACACCTTGATTAAAAAACATGAAAAGATTTGGGAAATATCTGTTAACGCCGAGGTGGAGGTACACATGCTTTGGCATGCTGCACGGCAGTTTACGAGCCGGTTTCGTTACGCGAATTCCAGCCTAGTTCGGCAAGGGTGGAAATTTGACTTTTATAGTCAGTTAAGTCCCTTGCCTCGGAAAGATGCAGTTGGCAAGGTTATCTACTGAAGTAATTCACCATCGTCAGCCACTCTTCCCCATTAAGATGATATCATGTTAACTTCCAGCACGTCTTGATTAGCGACAGATCAGGCATGTGTTGACGTCACTGTGATCGTGAGTGTAGTCAACCACACAAATAGCACGTTATCATGTGCCGTCTCGACTCCACACACAATGCAGGTGCCTCGTGTCACGCAGGGCGCGTGGGAGGGACTGACAATGTATTTCTTGTGTGTAATGGGGATACAGAAGCACGTATTATGTGACAATTATGCGTTCATCAACTCACATTAAAAGATCTAATGTCGATGTTCTATCTAAAATTGTGTAACGTTTTGTCAACAACAAGGCTTGGCTTATACTGTATAACCACGACTGGTCAACTGTAGTGGAGTGGTTGCTGTCTTACAGGGTGTCTATAGAAGACTTGGATAGACTCCCTGCTTTATAGTAGACCAGAGACCATACTATCTCGTTGCGCTAGCAGTGGCGTAACTCTTATATTTTCACATAGACGTTTCATTTTCGGTTTGTCTTTATCGTCGTAGGTCGAATTTCGACGAGAGGGAAGAAAAGGTTACATCATTCTGGACAACCAACCCTACTTCAAAACCTACCCAGTCACCTGCAAACTGACGTCATTTGTTTTCGGCGGCCTTGAACCAGTGGACGCAGCCTCCGTCCTGCCCCTATTGGTGAGTATGTCTTGCTTACGGACTGTTGACACGTATTTCTATCTCTCAGTGGAAATAGGGGCGCGGGTGGCCCAGTCGTCTAAGGCGCCGCGATTCGCTGTGCAGAGTTGCGTCCCTTGGGCTCGCCAGAAACCTATGATTGTGGGTTCGAATCACGGTTTCTAGGTTTGTCAGCACCATACCCGTGCTCGTGGGTTTCACCGAAGTGGTAAACGTCTGAGACCTGCATCACTTCGGGCTTTCCTCCCACATTAAGCTGACACGCCGTGATATGACTGGAATACTGTTAAAAACGGCGTTAAACCCAACTCACTCACTCACTCAGTGGAAATAAGGCACTATGTTCGTGTGTATACCTGTGACCGTATCACATAGGAGTTCCGAGGAAGAATAGGTCCCCAGCACCCCATTGTTGTCGAAAGAGACGTTTCATGTGGAACAGGTAGTCGGGCGTGATGAGATGGTTGTTGCCGAGTCCCTGTCCGGACGGCTTCATGCTTAAGTCACTGGTTACACTGGTCCAGACTGTGGGCGATGGGGAGTCCACGTTGTTAAGGCACTGGCTCGTCACGCCCTGGACCCTGCTTCTAGTCTCCACCTGGGTACAATGCAAGCCCATTCTCGGTGTTTTTGGAATATTGCAAAAAGGCATCGTAAAACCTTGCTCACTCTTAAACCTTAAAAAAACCGCAAAGCCCCCTGTTTTTGAAGTTACCAATTCAATTTTGATTTTTGTGATTTCAGCGAACGAGCACACATTTCGATGGCTGTATTCGGAATTTGAGTCTGAACATCGACCATGGTCTTGCTCCTCGGTACTACGCCGTATCCATCTGCAGCTAAGGTCTTGTCCCGTGAAAGTGGAACTAAAACGTAGAAGCCACGATTGTTTGTCACGTGGGCTGTTTTGGCGCCAATGCAATAGCAGTTTGATCTGTTAGATTTTTGACGTCATCAGATTTTACTGATCAACCCGGGCAGGCGAGACCCGACAGGGCGCGTGGTGAGTTTCCGACCGATGACCTTTGACGACGCTAACCTGTCACAGCGCCACCCTGTTACAACCCCGTGTGCTTGCGTGACCACCTGTGTTCAGCTCGACCTTGACCTTGTGCACACCATCGGCTATATCAGCAACATTGACCTGGGCCTTCGTTACAACATCGTCACAATGACGATTCCATTAGTCAAGTACAACCATTGCCGTCCATTACATTGTAAACTTTACAAGACCCTTGACCTTACATTACTGAAGGTCGCCTTGACCTTACATTACTGAAGGTCACACATATACAGTCGCAGACATATAAGGCCCATGCCAGGCCTTTCGCAGTGCTCACCTGTCCCAGATAGTTCATTTGGGTTGTTTGTTGGGTTAGTTTTAATATTTTGGAAGTAGATGTACTATTTTTTCGTCATTCAACCTCCAACTTCCATTTCGATGTCACTCGTGCGTTATAGGTGTTAATTTCTATTGTTGTATTAGCTCATGCCGAGAAGTCGTCTCCTTGCTGTGTGCTCTATCCCATTAAAACATGGAGTAGTTCGCCAACTCTCAGTAGTTATATGTCGCATTATAAAGTTTGCTGTAGTAACTTTGTCCATCACAACTACTTCTGTATTGGTGTATTTATTTATATGAAGCTTGTCGGACGTTTCTGTTAATGCGTTTAACATTAATTTCATTGGCGAAAATGGGACATACCGCGAAGTTGAGAGCGTGCCCCTGGACCGTTGTAAGGTCGTTACTGCGGCCAGGTTCAAATGTAGACGCAGCCTGCGTGGCACCGATGACGTCAGTCATTAACTTAACATGTAAGTATGTAAATGTATTACATATTGTTATTTATTCATCTGTGATACAGTGCCGTCAATGTCTCAGCTGTGCATGTCAATACTGCGTACTCCAGTTGCCTGTTAGGTAGCATAGATTGTTAGCTTTCCTTGTTATTTTGTAAAATATTTACAATATTGCTAATAAATTTATTACAAATAATGAATCATATGTTCATTTCATAAATTTTCTGGTCAGTGGATCGTAATACAGTCCTAAAATCTGGTAACTGAGGGTAGCCCAATGGTTCAGTGCTTCCTCGTCACGCCAAAGACCCAGGTTCAATTTTCTGAACAGGTATGACATGTTGTTCCCGGCCGTGACATGGCTGACTATTGCAGTCACTCACTCCAAAAATGTGCCACGGTAGTTTGTTTGTTTGTTTGTTGTTTAACGCCGCACTCAGCAATATTCCAGCTATATGACGGCGGTCTGTAAATAATCGAGTCTGGACCAGACAATCCAGTGATTGACATCATGAGCATCGAACCACGCAATTGAGATCGACGACATGCATCAACCAAGTCAGCGAGCCTGACCACCAGATCCCGTTAGTCGCCTCTTACGCCACGGTAGTAGATTACTTATCTTCAACTGTTCAAAGAAGGTCAGAACTTCAAATAGAGACGGACATTACTTCACAACCAAACATCTGCTTCCGTTTCATCCCAGCTGCCATCGTTTGCTGGATGTGGAAACATGTGTGGGTCACAAACAGTATACTCTATTTGTGCGTCTGCACAATGATCAGGGTAACGTATTGGATTAAGTTTTCACATGGCGTCACCGGCTGTCATCATACAGAGTTGATCTAACAATATAAGGAGGATGTAATACTCCAGTGATAAAAGAAAAATCCCCGTCCTCTGGGTAAGACTCGCCATTTGCGCCCCTGGAGATATAAAAGATTGGTTGATGTCAAATATAATAATTTACCCCTAAAACATGACAATATTAAAGTGTGAAGTAATTGGCCACAGTGGAAGTATAGTTTGTTCCCACCTACTGCAGCCCTAGTTCCATACGTGGGAAGAGAGATGCCATAATAGTAGTAAAGCTCCAACTGAGCAGGATAAAGGCAGATTCTCCTTCTTGTGGCAGTATAATATCGAGAACACTTGGTCAGGAAATATAGATTTCAGTTGCGTCTTTACGACGCTGTCCCATCATACGAATGGTGTATTAAAACCATCAACACTGCATTTGCATGAGTGACTCGGGTTTAACGACATTTAAGCTGTATGTCAGTCGCATGATCGCGTGTACATTTTAATATACTGTACAGACTGCTTCCTGTTTCCAGTTTAGACGTAAGAGGTGTGAAACTGTGTCTGTGTCATTAGGGTAATAGTTAACTACTCCATTTATATACATCACAAAGTGTCTTTGGAATGACTTGCTACAACTGGCAATTTGTTTCCCAATAATGTAGGAGGCAAGCCCAGCGCGACCGTCACAAATATTTACCACATTGGCCAACATTGGTATTCAGGTGCCATTTTCAATCTGGACTATCAGAGAGGAGTTGGGTTTAACCCCGCTTTTAACAGTATTCCAGTTATATCACGGCATGTCAGCTTAATGTGGGAGGAAAGCCCGAAGTGATGCAGGTTTCAGAAGTTTACTATTTTGGTGAAACCTTGCAGTACAGATACCAGTAGCAAGTTTCTTGCCAAAGGTACTAGCTTCTGCACTGTGGCATTGAATGAACAGAACAGGGTTGAAAGTGGCAAGCCACTCCTTTATTCACGCTGGTTAAATTGAGGAACAGGGGTATGATGCGGAAATTAGGATAATTATTGAAGCGAATTGTAGGATTCAATCCACCACAATCAGATACTGGAAGGGTCACAACTCCGCATAGAGAGATATAGCCCCTATCAACTCTCATACCATCATATCAGTACATACAAACCTAAGTACAATCAAACATACAATGTCATGACATCCTGTCTTCAGCTTCTAAGGTTTATTGTCAGTGGAGCTTGAGATTGGGTGTGCTTGATCTGTTGGTAGCTGCTGTTCCGGAGGTGGCAATATGTTTGGTGGGAGGGGTAGGGTATCAGCTCAAAGTTTGTAAGATGGCACCAGTGATCTGACAGCAGAAGGGTAGAACCCATGAAGATTTGGGTTTGAAGTAGTCTTCAACAACCAAGAGCCAGATGTCAGGCTCGCTGACTTGGTCGATGCATGTCATGCTATCCCAATTCCATGAGTCAATGCTCATGACATCACTCACTTGGTGGTCTGCTCCAGACTCGATTATTTACAGATTGCCGTCATACAGTTGGAATGCTGCTGAGTGCAGCTTAAACAACAAACAAACAAGCAGACCTCCCAGTCAGGGAGCTGGTATCGATGTGCTCTACTCTAAGTGCAAATCCTACCTTAGCATGCCCTAAGGGGCATAAGTAATATTCAACATCAAGACACATCATTAATTGGTGGCTCATTAATAGATCCTTTGACTCTACCTCGTGTTGAATCCACTACAACAGCTGCCATAAAGTATGGCCGTTTCTCAGTGTAACGGAAGCAGTCTAGGTACTATAGTACACAAGCCGAGACACACTACCTTGAGGTGTTGGATAGAAAGTACCTCCACCTCCTCCAACCAGCACAGCCTGCAGCAGACCTTTGAGTGAGTGCTGCAGGTCATTCAGTATGGATATGGTTCTGACAAACCAAGGATGATTATCAGGGCCATGACATGGCCCTGGATCCTGGAAAAGGTCAGTGCATGAACTCCATACAGGGAATTAACCTTATGCCACCTGTCAACCAAACAACATTGAGTAGTCGGGTGTTGGACCTGATACACAATCTGCCTTGTTGAAGGAATCAAATCATATGAAGATCTGACCTTATTTAGCAATAATGGTGAGGTGAGGTGAAATGGGGTTTAACGTCGCATCCAAGATTATTGCACTTATATAGCGACGTGCATGTACGTGTGTGTGTTTGTGTGGCTGCTTGTACTAGTCCGGACTGATGCCGATTTATAGTGCTAGCTCACTGAGATACCATGCCGCAGTTTAACATGAATACCCAGTATACAGTTTACCAGTCAGACACAGTATACTGACTCCTAGCTGACCAGTCCTTGTTTTAGCCCCTTAATGCCGAGCGCCAGACAGGGTAACAACAAGTACCATCTTTTAACGTCTTTTGGTATGACGTGGCCGGGGATCGAACCCCGGACCTTCCGCTCTCCAGGCGGACGCTCTACCACTAGACCACGGAGGCGGTACTTTAGCAATAATGAAATGTGCAGTACAGAACAAGAAAAATTAACTGAATATATGTTTTAAAATATATCTAGAACTAATGATATACACGAACATGGTTGCAATAAGTTCAGCATGTTCTGGTAATGTATGATGTAACATGTTATGAGAAGTAGAGAGATTGAAAAGACAGATATGTGGCTCCACTGACCCTTGACAAAACACAGGAGATACAATCCAGAGCACGGTCCTCATGCTCACTCACAAATCCGTCAATGTGAAACATAACAAAGACATAACGTCAGATATATTGTTTTATCCATAAATCAATGTATAGTTATCACAAAGCATAGATTATGACGCTACATATATATATGTCTAATTATTATACATGCATCAATAAACAGGGAACAATCACTGTATACTCCATATATAAAATAGTACATAAAGACAACACAGTCCTGTCACCACTTATTACACATATTGTCAATATAGAACTAGCACCAATAATTTCAACGTTCATCAACAATTTGTGAGCAATCAACAAAAAAAGCAACTACCTGCACAGGTAGTCCAGGTATCGTTGTAATGAGATGAAGCTGCTGGGTGTGTGGACAGGAGGGGCATCTACAGTTGGTGCTCGTGCCTCAGCCACAGTCAAACAAACATCTAATCTTGACTTGAAGTCTCCACCATGCTAAGATGAGGTGAAGCAGGGTTTAACGTCGTGTTCAAGCCATTAGGGCTTGGATGAGTCTAAATTTCCTACCTGGGAACCTAACCCCTCATAACCTGACCCTACCTGGGAACCTAACCCCTCATAACCTGACCCTATCTGGGTACCTAACCCCTCATAACCTGACCCTATCTGGGTACCCGCTGTAGCTCTCAAGAGTTGCAAAATGTCTGATTGGGAATTGTTTTACCGCAGCCCTGGCAAGAACTGTTTAGATACATGTATAGAACGAAGAGATCATGCGTACAGTGAAGTTGACTGAAGCTTTATGTTTACTCAAACCTATACAAGTCAAAAGGAATGTGAACATTAGCGACTTGCAGTGTAACCACTGAGCTATAGTGAGTTTTTTACATTAAACAACATATCACGTGACTAACCACGGGTCCAGGTAGTCCTGTGGGTACCCGGGTCCTACTCAGGACCCACCCGACCCGAGTACCCGAGTTACCCGCCTTAGCCCTAGTGGTCAGTCAGACACTGTACACAGCACACTGCACACTGTACACAGTACACAGCACACTGTACACAGCACACTGTACACTGTACACAGTACACTGTACACAGCACACTGTACACAGCACACTGCACACCGTACACAGCACACTGTACACAGCACTGTACACAGCACACTGCACACCGTACACAGCACACTGTACACAGTACACAGCACACTGTACACAGCACACTGCACACAGCACACTGTACACAGCACACTGCACACTGTACACAGTACACCCGATGCCAGGTAGGTTAACAATATGTACATCTTCTAATTTTCTTTGATAATGTGTTGGCCAGGGGATCGAACCACCGACCTTCCTCTCTCCAGGCAGATGCTCTATCCACCACAGAGGTGGAACTATACTGTTTAACAGCCTAAACAGAACTTTCAAGTAAAGCTTAGTGCATGTGCCAACAACACAGGTGGCTACAAACCTGTCTACATCAATTTCCTGCTTGAAGTTTTTTGTTTGTTTGTTGATAATACCGCACTCAACAACTCATATTCAAGCCAGTAAATAATCAAGTCTGGACCAGAAACACCAGTGATTGATATAATGAGATATGATCCAAGTCACTGGTGTATGATGACACGCATTTAACCAAGTCACTGAACTTGTCAACTCAATGCATTTAGTTGCCTTATAACCAGCATAGGTGGGTTACCAATTCCAATCCCCCCACGGCTACTTCCTTAAGAGGAGGGTTAAGAGGGCTCTCCCTGTTGGCAGGTATGATGCACTTGCACTCAGCTCTTCTCAACATACAGCTGCCTGGAAAAACTGGAAAACCTAGCTACATGTATATTTACTGCAGAAAACACATAGGGTTGCTGAGTTAGATCCAGTAAGATCCTTATTATGTTAAGCTCCCCCTGAGTAACATAGAGAAAATTAACAATAGCACGTATTTGTACACGGAAATGATAATCTGATTCACACAGATTAGTGATACAAAATTAATGAAAACAAAGTTAAGACCTGATTACAAAGTTAAAAGTGATGAGCATGATAAAACTACAAAGAGCAAATTCAAATAACTTCTACAACACATCAATATATATTTTGCTTATAAAAATGCATTGGCAGGGCTGGGCTCTTTCTACATTACGTCAAGCAGTAGCACCTAACTGTCAAAAGTCAAGCATGTCAAGCTAAAGAGTGTTCCTAACTCAGCTTTTATCACACAGAAGACTGTGATGAGTAATGTTGAGAAAATTCATATCTATGTAGTTAGGATATTTCCACTGAGTCATATAATCAACAATGAATCATACCCCACACATCTGAATTGAATACATTCAGACAGCTAAATAATAACCTGAGCAAAAAACTATAATATATATGAATATGTTATATTAATTCTCACGGCCATCATAATCCCAATAGTCACAGGGAAAAAATTCTTTATTGATTCTGAAAATAGTGATTTGAGTGCATGACTGTATTTCAATCAATACTTACCTGCTCAGGTGAGAATGTTTTGGTATACCAACATTTACAAAGTGAAGAGCTGTCCGGGAACACATTCCTATTTTCAAAAGCTCTATTTGAAGTCACATGCGTCGATTCACATTTCTTGACATCAGCACAACCTTTTAACAAATTTTAACTTTAATTTCATTTTACAGTACTGGTATTTAAAGAATCATACAGAAATATTTAATTAAAGCAGAGTATTTGAAAGGAGTGCTATCGCAGTGGTACTATACCAATAAGGAATGTAATGATTATGATACATGAATGATTCATTGGCAGGCAACTATGAAGATCCTATTAGTTGAGTTGGGATTAACAATAGCAAAGACTAAATACAACAGATCTCAGGGCCATGCTTCTGTAACTATCGTATCAGCCAAGCAGTTTTCAATCAACATCATCAATACTGACTTGACATGTTGGGGCATTTGGTTTTATATTACCGGTACTTCATACTCATTCATCAACCTAATATTTCACAAAAGAATTTTTCCTCTCTATCCGTTAACAAATTGCAGTTATGAAAAACACTTTGAAATTGGTAAATAAGGAGAAAAAAGTCTCTTATTAATGTGATCATGTGAAAATCAATTTTGTTTTTCGAATTCTATTTCAATCAAAAACAGATCCTACAGTTTGTGGGAAAATGCGAAAAAAAAGTCTGTAAGATAAGTGACCTAACACGGGAAAAGATTTTTGTCGTTCAAATGACAACTTTGCAAACCTATTAACATGACACAATATTAATTCTATACATCCAAGTAGACTGTGAGATCATGAAGTTGTTGACAAAGTAGGAATCCCATTTACAGCTGGTTTCCATGTTTCAGCACACACTGACACAACATGATTAAGTACCCTCAACTATTGTCAACTATGGGACCAAGGAAAATACAGAAGTAAAGTGAAATTACCAGAAACATTTACCTACCATAAAATAATCACAACTCTAGTTTTCTAGTTTTACATACTTTACAGTTTTATCTAAAGTCAAACACAGCTGTGTTGAACTTTAATGTGTCAAACGTATGGTTGTCTTATAGAAAAAGCTTGGTCCCTCTTTCCTTCTTTATATATCATTTTCGGTTGTGTCAAACCTCAGATAAGTCGAACTATTTACGTAGGTCCCTTCAACTTCAACACAACGGTGTTTGACTGTATATATTTTGGCCATAGTTATAATCCATTCCATAATTGCACTTTTTGATGTAAACTGCCCTGATGACCAGCAGTGACGATTGTGATTTATTTCATTCTTAACATGCACTTCTTCTTTATTTTAATTAGTAAAATTGTGAATTTGGGCTGGAGTGGTTGGATAATCAACAACCAAAATTCATCCGACCAACGAAATTGTTTGTTTTGTAATAGAACTTTTTTTGTGATATAAAGGTGACCTTATGATTTCATGTGTACAAAGTCACCCTGATGATGACATAGCGGTACTGTTTAACATGCTTGGAATAATATTTGAGCTGCATGCACATGACTTAGCTGTGCTTGTGCCCATGATTGATTGAACAGCACGTCCCTGGAGATCACAGGGTCTCACCTGTTTCATGGGCAACAGGGCACATGTCACAGGAAAATCACTGGTCCCATAGAAAATGTGTTAGATAGCAAAGCATTTGGTTAAAACAATTGTGCCACATTATCATCGTTTTTGCACACATACTCTATCAATTACTGTTCTTTCATTCTTTTCAAAAACAAAAAGTCACTTTCATATTTAGCACAAGCAATTTGGACAGCCTTGATTTCAAGTTACTGGTCCTAATTAATATTTACCATTACTAGTGTTTGTCTGATGGACCAGCATACTTGTCCAGCAGACCTATACTCATCTCACCTGACCAGCATACCGTACTTGTCTAGCAGACCTATACCCATCTCACCTGACCAGCATACTTGTCTAGTGGACCAATATACTCATCTCACTTGACGAGCATACTTGTCAAGCAGTCCTATACTCATCTCACCTGACCAGCATACTTGTCTAGTGGACCAATACTCATCTCACTTGACCAGCATATTTGTCCAGCAGACCTATACTTATCTCACCTGACCAGCATACTTGTCTAGCGGACCAATACTTATCTCACTTGACCAACATACTTGTCTAGCGGACCAATATACTCATCTCACTTGACCAGCATACTTGTCTAGCGGACCAGCATACTTGTCTAGCGGACCAATACTCATCTCACTTGACCAACGTACTTGTCTAGCCGACCAACATACTTGTCTAGCGGACCAATATACTCATCTCACTTGACCAGCATACTTGTCTAGCGGACCAGCATACTTGTCTAGCGGACCAATACTCATCTCACTTGACCAACGTACTTGTCTAACGGACCAGCATACTTGTCTAGCCGACCAATATACTCATCTCACTTGACCAGCATACTTGTCTAGTGGACCAATACTTATCTCACTTGACCAGCATACTTGTCTAGTGGACCAATACTTATCTCACTTGACCAGCATACTTGTCTAGTGGACCAATACTTATCTCACTTGACCAGCATACTTGTCTAACGGACCAGCATACTTGTCCAGCGGACCAATATACTCATCTCACTTGACCAGCATACTTGTCTAGCGGACCAATATACTCATCTCACTTGACCAGCATACTTGTCTTGCGGACCAGCATACTTGTCTAGCGGACCAATATACTCATCTCACTTGACCAGCATACTTGTCTTGCGGACCAGCATACTTGTCTAGCGGACCAATATACTCATCTCACTTGACCAGCATACTTGTCTAGCGGACCAATATACTCATCTCACTTGACCAGCATACTTGTCCAGCAGACCAGCATACTTGTCCAGCAGACCTATACTCATCTCACTTGACCAACATACTTGTCTTGCGGACCAGCATACTTGTCTTGGGGACCAATATACTCATCTCACTTGACCAACATACTTGTCTAGCGGACCAGCATACTTGTCTTGGGGACCAATATACTCATCTCACTTGACCAGCATACTTGTCAAATCCTGAGCTCACCACATAAAGGCACCACATAAAATTGTTGCCAACCTGATTGTGTATCTACACATGACATGTTAAACGTAATGGAGTACCTGTCTCCATGAATGAGTTATTTTATGCATGCTACAGAGGTAGATGGACTGAAGGGCATGTCTACGAGCTGAAGGTAGGCCATGTCCTTAGTCTCACAAATACTTTGCAATATCGCTATCATGTTTCTCACACATCGAGACTAAATGCTTCATTACAGGAGTTCAATATCTCACAACCCGAAAACAAATCCTTCACTATATCTCTTTTGTGTGTTTAATATCTGAGATCTCCTGAGTGTATCAGTGAGGTATTTATGCTGCAATTAACTGTGGAGTATTTCACTGTTTTCCAACCTGTATTTCCCCAAAGCCAAAAGAAAAAGCCATACAAAGAAAGAATATAATACCACCAACACACAAAACCACCATCACAGAACATCATGAGCAGTCTGTAACAAACAATGAATACATTCCAGAAAACTGATGCCATAAAGAATAAAGCATAACAAACTTAATGAGTGTACTTAATTCAGTTATACAACTGCATGTGAGGCAAGTTGCAGACCTTCAGTACCCTGTTGGAACCCATGTAAGCAGAGGTTCATGTACAGGTGGGGCTGTGTTCAATCACTAAATAAAGGTCTGCAAACAAATACAGGAATCCAAGGCCACATTGGGCAATAATGTAGTGTGTAGTTAAACGTTTGAGTTTGTAAGTTCTAACGTGTTTACGTCAACAAGCAACTCACATCTGACCCAAACATGCAGCTATCTGGATCACCGTGCAGCGATTTGCAGGGAGACGAAAAAACTGCCATTTATTGTCTGCAGAAACCACCGTTTGGAGTGGCTTATAACTGATAAGGCACATATCATGCATCCACATACTTTGTCAGTATTAACAAAAACCAGTAAATACAAATGTGGCAAATATATCCTATAAATATTCAAACTGTTCTCACAAAATATCTAATACAGTCAGGTACAAGTGAACTGAATATTTGAGTGGTTTCAGTTACATTATCAGCTGACTCATGACAACAACCAACATATACCACTACTTTGTCATCATATGTCCACATGATGGATATTCGATCCACTATGAGTCTACACGTGCCGAGCATGTATGATGACAAACCTGTATAAAGTAATCCCAAGTATATGATACAATATCATTTGAAATCATTGCTTATTGTACAATTGTGTCATAAGTCAACAACAAGTTTACTATTTAAATTTTCACCTCAGTTCATTATTCATCGATTGACAAGACTGAGTTCTGTTGACTATTCTTCAGTCTGTGGAATTATGTCCTTAAACCAAGACCTTGCCAGGGTTAAGTATACCCTTTGGGTCAAAGGTTGTCTTGAGTTGCTGCATGACCCCTAGAGTTGTATCGCCGATCTCCTCCCGAAGCAACATCCTCTTGCCGATGCCTATACCATGCTCCCCTGTGCAAGTCCCATCCATAGACAGACCGAGTCTGGAAATGTGAACAAAGGGAGATAACTGTGTTAAATTCTCTGACAGATGGAAACAATATCTCCCTACATTCTAGTTGGAAAGGGTTCAATCATGAAACATGACATAAATTAAAATCAAACCGAAGCTCATGTAATATGCCCTTACCGTATTTGGCGTAATAAGCGCCCAGGGCGCTCTCAAAATTAGAAATAGGGGGCTCTTATTAGAATGGTATTTTGGTGGAAAAAAACAGAGCTGAGAGATAAATTTCGTGGTTTATGCTGACAGCCTGAAATGTTTATATACGACAGATATTGCCCATAATTAAGGGTGCATATAACACACAAGTGCGTATTATACACGAATAAATAAGTCTTGTGTACATTGATCAATCGGAAGGGGTGCTATTTGGGATTGTTCACAAGCCAATATATTAATAAATATCGCCGTGTGCGCTTATTAGAGTGGTGTGCTTATTACGGTAATTATAAACAAAGACAATCTCATGTCCCCAAATCATTCCATACTTGTGAAAAAATACAAATTATGCAAACATTAAGAAGACAGTCGATTTCAAGTATAAGAGGGACCTCTGTCTTAACGGCTTGATGATGACATTGAATAAACACTGCCATAGGATACAGGACAACATGCTATATACCATCTGTGTCAGCATGGCGACACAGGGCGACATGTTATATTGTTATATACCATCTGTGTCAGCATGGCGACACAGGACGACATGCTATATACCATCTGTATCAGCATGGCGACACAGGGTGACATGCTATATACAATCTTTGTCAGCTTGGCGACACAGGGCGACATGCTATATACAATCTTTGTCAGCATGGCGACACAGGGCCACATGCTAAATACAATCTTTGTCGGCATGGCGACACAGGGCCACATGCTATAAACAATCTGTCAGCATGGCGACACAGGGCGACATGCTAAATGAAATCTGTGTCAGCATGGCAACACAGGACGACATGCTATAAACAATCTGTGTCAGCATGGCGACACAGGACGACATACTATGTGCAATCTGTGTCAGCATGGCAACACAGGACGACATACCTCATACAATCTTTGTCAGCATGGCGACACAGGTCGACATACCTTATACAATCTTTGTCAGCATGGCGACACAGGACGACAAACTATGTGCAATCTGTGTCAGCATGGCAACACAGGACGACATACCTTATACAATCTTGGTCAGCATGGCGACACAGGACGACATGCTGTATTTATAATCTGTGTCAGCATTGCGACACAGGACGACAAACTATGTGCAATCTGTGTCAGCATGGCAACACAGGACGACATACCTTATACAATCTTGGTCAGCATGGCGACACAGGACGACATGCTGTATTTATAATCTGTGTCAGCATTGCGACACAGGACGACAAACTATGTGCAATCTGTGTCAGCATGGCAACACAGGACGACATACCTTATACAATCTTTGTCAGCATGGCGACACTGGACGACATACTATGTGCAATCTGTGTCAGCATGGCGACAGAACAACATGCCATATATAATCTGGGTCAGCATGGCAACACAGAACAACATGCCATATCCAATCTGTGTCAGCATGGCGGCACAGGAAAACATGCTATATACAATCTTTCAGCATGGCGACACAGGGCGACATGCTGTATTTACAATCTGTGTCAGCATGGTTTTACACAGGCCGATATGCCATATACAATCTTTGTCAGCATGGCGACACAGAACAACGTGCCATATACAATCTGTGTCAGCATGGAGACACAGGACAACATGCTATATACAATATGTGTTAGAATGGCAAAACAGGACAACATGCTATATGCAATCTGTGTCAGCATGGCGACACAAGCGACACAGGACAACATGCTATATACAATCTGTGTCAGCATGGCATCACAAGCGACACAGGACAACATGCTATATACAATCTGTGTCAGCATGGCGACACAAGCGACACAGGACAACATGCTATATGCAATCTGTGTCAGCATGGCGACACAAGCTACACAGGACAACATGCTATATACAATCTGTGTCAGCATGGCGACACAAGCTACACAGGACAACATGCTATATACAATCTGTGTCAGCATGGCGACACAAGCGACACAGGACAACATACTACATACAATCTGTGTCAGCATGGCGACACAGGACAACATGCTATATGCAATCTGTGTCAGTATGGTGACACAGGCGACACAGGACAACATACTATATACAATCTGTGTCAGCATGGCGACACAGGACAACATGCTATATGCAATCTGTGTCAGTATGGTGACACAGGCGACACAGGACAACATACTATATACAATCTGTGTCAGCATGGCGACACAGGACAACATACTATATGCAATCTGTGTCAGCATGGCGACACAGGACAACATACTATATGCAATCTGTGTCAGCATGGCAACACAGGACAACATACTATATACAATCTGTGTCAGCATGGCGACACAGGACAACATACTATATGCAATCTGTGTCAGCATGGCGACACAGGACAACATACTATATACAATCTGTGTCAGCATGGCGACACAGGACAACATACTATATACAATCTGTGTCAGCATGGCGACACAGGACGACATGCTATATGCAATCTGTGTTATCATGGTGACACAGACGACGCAGGACAACATGCTGTATATACAATCTGTGTCAGCATGGCGACACAGGCAACTCAGGACCACATGTTGTAAGGAGAATAACACCAACCACACCCACTACACTATCACTTTTCCTACTGATACTTGGTTTCCAAAATACCCCAAACCAATTTATTCATAACCCGAGGGCCACTGAGAAAAAGATGAAAACTATTTATGAACAATTTCCAAAAATTAGGGAATAAATGAAAACCAATTGCACCTTCCTCAAATAATAATTTTCTACCATGTCTTTAAGTTACTGTTTTTTCCTGCTTTATGACACTTTCTTAAAGACAATATATTACAATGGCCATCCTATGCAATAGATACATTGTGTTTGATCAGTTCAAGTATGGAGACGAAGTATGCACTACGACAGGCACAGAAATAATACAAGATGTCTTTACTTTGCTTCAGTCTATATCTAGCCTTGGCAATATAGTACGCACAAACACACATTTGCTTCAGTCCATATCTAGAGGCAAGAAAAATATGAAATGTGAGCATGAACGGTCAATAAGCCTCCATGTTAGAGCAACAGTTAGGTTTGTGAAGACTGTAGTATCAACACTTGAACTCACAGAGCTATTTTCTCTGCCAGCTCTTCGGCTTGTTGCTTCTCTTCCATGCTGTTTTCAAGGGGAAGTAACGCACAATGAAAATTGCCATCACCAGCGTGACTGATTATTGGCGCTGAAATGAAAATCATACAAAACAGATTACTACTCACTTGGCCATTTTAACAGCAACGTCCTTGACCTTTTGAACGTCTTCAGGGTCAGTGCGGTCAACTGGGAAGAAGACGTGGAAATTGCCGTCTCCTACATGCCCAACTATGGGGCCTGAAACAAAGTGTTACTAGTTCATATCCCACTTGTCTGACATTGGATTTACCGCTATCTACCCAGTAGTAGTCATCCTGGACCAAAAAGCTACAATAACAAATTTGAATATAAACAGCTCAAAAATATTTTCATTTGCCCAACCACTCCATCTTTGACGAATTATTAAAAAAACATCAATCCATGAAAATCAAACAAAATTACAGGAACTGTCGACTTTTAAAATACTACTACATATATGTAGTTTCTGGCCACTGAAAACCCCTCATAAAGAGAACAGTGAGTGAGTTGGGTTTAACGACGCTTTTAACAGTATTCCAGTTATATCGCGGCGTCAAAAAGAGAACAGAGCCTCTCCAGAAGTAAATATTGCACTTAAAGCATAATATTGTTTATTTACTCCCACAAACTGACTGACTCAACATCATGTGAAATAAAAAAGCACATAGTGACTAAAATGTACTTGTCTATCAACAATCCCTAGGTTATTAGTAAGCAGAGGATCAGTGAACCAGAAAAAGTAAAAGATTTGCCTTTGCAACATAATACACACAAACACACATTTGTGTCAGAGCAACCATAACTAACAAAGAGAAAAAATGTCTACAGCCATGAAGTCAAGATACACGTCTGAGGAGAGGGTACAGGTGGCCCAGAGTTGTGTCCCTTAGGCATGACAGAAACCTATGAGGAGGCTACAAATCCCATATTCACCCTGACAACATATCTAGGTGAGTCAGCACCATAAGACTGTGGGTTTCACCAAAGTGGTAAACATCTAGCACCTGCATCACTTCGGCCTTTCCTCCCACATCAAGCTGACATGCCGTGATATTTGTAAATACTGTACAAAGTGGCGTTAAGCCAAACTCACTCACTCACTCACTCACTCACTCAGTTAGAGGAGTATCATCTGTCACAGCAACAACCATGACAACCAGGTACTGTTGCACAGGACAAACATTGATACCAAGTAGCCCTGGATAGGCTATGGAAATGTTCCCCCTTTTGACCTGCACTTCTCCAGTCATGTATAGGAAAGTATTCTTACCTAAAGAAGAGAGTAATAGTCAAACACAAATCCGAAGCATGAAATAATGTAACTGCACGTCAGTTGTACCACAACATGGCTGTACCAGCCTACCTATTACTCCCGCTTCATTGATGAAATCCTTAGACTTGAGGATGACTTCAGGCAGTCTGGAGATGGGCACGCAGACATCAGTTGAATAGGGCTGTGATAAGGAGACAATGTTAAAGATGTCAACTGTCACAGAGGTTATCAGTATCTGTATCACAACTTGTCTACAGAATTCTGATAGAGATGAACTCAAATCATTCACGAACAAAATGATAATCTTTCGTTCAATGTTGCCCTGAAAGATGTTCTACCTAGGCTGTTGTGTAGTCAACACTGTCAGTACTGTGGGAAACACTCTTCCCAGATAGAGTAGGAAAGGGCAGAGTTATAAGGTTATTACAAACCTATCAGAGTACAGGTGTTAGGTAAAAGTCTATCAATTATATTAAAAATATGTGTTGCTCACTTATATAAGACCACAGTATGTGCAATGGCTGTGTATTGTGAAGATGATAGATCTATTTATCCACTTATTCTTTCCCAGTTGCTGATGGTATTGTTATTTATTCAAGTTTCATGCTTTTACCTTTGATCCTGGTTTCAGAGCCATACACGCATAGATGATGTCATGCCTGGCCCTCCACAGTCTGTTTCTCTCTTCAGCATCCTTGGCCCAGCGGAAGTCCGAGCCGCCATTCATCTGACACAGTTCCTCTGCAAAGAAAACCTGTCCTGTAGTCAGGATCATCTCAGCCATATTGCAGCCCCTGTAATATCATTGTTTTCAGTGTGTTTCACATCTGCCAATCACAGGGACCAGCAGCACAAGGAAACATGGCATATGACTAATCTCACTAGCCATCATGTGTGGCAGTCACAGATGTAATGTGATTGTGTCCCCTAACCAAGAGTAAGCATATAGAGTAGTTAGTATTCATATTAATACTAGCACTTAATTATAAGTATTCGTACCAATATTAGCATACAGTTATTAGTATTTGTACCAATATTAACACTTAGTTTTTAGTATTCGTACCAATATTACCACTTAGTTTTTAGTATTTGTACCGATATTAGCATTTAGTTATTTATATTCGTACCAATATCAGCATTTGGTTATTAGTATATAGTGTTAATAAAATCTAAATATTTTTTAAATTTGAATACTTATCCTGCATTACTCCTCAATGCATTGACTGCTTACCTCATGACAGAAACGAACTGTGCGAGGTCTCGGCTGAAGAAATAAAAAGTTGACCCAATCAAGTCTGAAGCCTGACCCTTACACAGCTTGCCACGTGACCCAACGGAAGTGGTAATGTGAGCAGCCCAAGCAACACTTGCCACTGGTGAAGTGTGCGGGATTGTCGAAGGGCAGGTGACAGATGGCGCAGTATCTTGAACCATCTGTCCCCTGGCACTGAGTCGGTGGGATGGAATCATCTCCTCATTAACTACACATATCAGTTGATACAGTAGACGCCTGCAGACCAGGGTAGCCGTGTCCGGATGACTCAGGAGACTCGTCTATGTATGACTTAAACCAGATGTCCTCAGTCGTAGGAAGGCAGCTACTGGTTTGGTTGAGTTGTGTAAATATCCACGGGGCCACTGAAATGCCAAGGGGGAGGACCGCCCATTGGTAGTGGGCCTCATTGAACTGGAACCTGAGGAACCTGCAGTTGTTGGCATGAATAGGTACATGCAGGTACATATCCTGCAAGTCGCAACTGATCAGGGAATTGTAAGCGCTGACACTGCTCCTGAGCAGTCTCAATGTTGTGACGCGGGAGTAAGGTGGACGTTTCAAGTAGCGCTAATTGAACAGAGAGATTGTCAATGATTCACATCTTGCCGAGTCTAGGTAGATGGGAGAGGAGAAGCCTTGTGTAAATCTCTTTGGCTCTCTTCTTCAACAGCATATCTATGTTGGAACCCAGTTTCTGATGTTGCTTTCTGGGGTAGAGCCAAGGTGGTGGAGCTGTGGTCGGTAGAGGGTCTATGGCCAGGTCTACGGTACCCAGAGTGCAGTACCTTTAGTACAAATGGAGGTCCTCATCCAAATCATGTGCCTGGACAACAACTTCAAAGGCAGGGATAGAAAAATCTCCTTCCAAACCTGGCCGCCTTGAACACTGAGAAGAGTGCTAATCTGGAGAACTCCTCGGCCAATGCCCTGACCATATCCCTAAGCATGGGATCAGGTGTTACACAGGGCTCCAGATAAAGGTTGTATGATAAAGGAGTATGTAAGGACAAAAGTATGCACGATATGGTGGGGCATAATGTAGAAAACGTATCAGTTGCGCATTGCAACATACATGTACGGTCTATATTCATTTTACTCATTTATGTATTTCCCATCAAGTAGTGTATTTTCTTGAGTATAGTGCAAACTGTTAAAAAACACAGCTGTGTAAAGTAGGTGTGCATTATACACGCCACAATGAGTTCTGATGTTTTTTCCCAATGTAAAAACAGTAACGTGAGCATTGCATGCAACACTGGAAATACCATGTCAACAAATCTGTAGGCCCTACTGAAGTACACAATCAGGTAATTACACTATCTGGTTACAAAAAGTGTTCACTGTACATCTGGACTTAGGTTTGTAACTTATTTTATTAATTTTATTCCAAATTTCATTCAATAATGTTTTACATTAATTTCGGCTATACCGTGTGTGAAGTGGTCGGTAAATCATACAACTCCACGTGATTTACAGCAACCACAGTCAGATTATCATTATTGCCACCTTGAAGGGAACGTTCCGATGACTACAAGCGTGGGTGTTGTGTTGTGTTGTGAATCTAGAACGGATCTAGAACGGCGCTTAGATCGTGAAGATCTAGATGAGCACTTGGAAGAGACACCGGGTCAGGCTACCCAAGCAGGGGGAGGTGTATCAAACCTACTGAAAGACGTTGAAGGTGTAGACAGTACTGAAGGATTCTGATGAACAGCAGGCTTTAGCGGGACCACAATTGCTGGATGAGTGGCAGGCGCTGGGGTTGATGGAAGTGTTGTGGTACGTAAGTCGCGCGAGGTGCTGGCACTTTCGGCTGGTACAGAGGCGCAGTCGCAGGCGCTGGATACAGATGTGCACATATGTGGGAGGCACTGGCAGGAACCTGGGAGACGCAGTTGGTAACTGGCTGTGCGCAGGTGTAGAGGATAACTCTCAGACGCAGCCATCATCGCCATGTCTGGCAAGGCAGTAATCGTCGCAGAAGCCAGAGTCGTCAGTGATGAAAGATCCATGACATCATCACTTCCCTTTGGTCACATGGCAAGCTGTGTAAGGGTTGGGCTTCGAACTTAATTGGGACCACTTTATATTTCTTCAGCCGACACCTTGCACAACTTCATTTCTGTCATAGGGTAAGCAGTAGATGCATCAAGGAATAATGCAGGATAAGCACAAAAATTATATAGATAATGGTATTGTTAGTATTAGTGACAACAACCTATGACGTAATTTGTAGTATTTTGTTGCCAGTCACACCGGCGAAACAATGCCCAGTGACGTCAGGGGTCATCGAGTGTGCATAAGCTCCTCCCAGTGATCTATCATCTCTACACACAATATTATTAAATACGCCCAGCGATGTTGAGAGTTTTCAATATTTGTTACTAAATATAGTCTGCGGTAGCACATTTTAAAGCAAGAGCTAGTTTACGAAAGCAAAAAATAGTTTTTATATATTTTTTATTTCGTTTTTCTCGAAATTCAAGTGGCTAAAATGGTTATAAATGGGAACTATTATATACTCAACAACAAAAGTTCCTGTGACACCAATATTTTAGTGTATTTTTCAAACAAGTAAAGTTTGGTTTTCAATATTGTAGTACATGTATGGAATCAAGTCACAAAAACGCAACTGCTACAGAAAAGCATGCATTCCATGCAAAAGTTGACTTTTATGCAAGCCCCATGCATTTCACTACCCAAGAATGGTTATAAAAACATGTGCGTTAACGGGATTCCATATGCATTGTTTAGCATCGTGCTGACAACAACCACTCAGAAAAACAACAAAATTACGCAATTATTCAACATTACGAAATGCCACGCCTGTCCGAAAATGAGCATCTGCGAGCCATTGGTATGCTTGAAGCAGGATCGAGTCAACATGATGTTGCAAGACAATTTAACGTCCACAGAAACACCATTTGGTGTTTATGGCAACATGGCAACAGACGAATGCAGTCAGAGACCATCCTTGGAGTGGCAGGCCACACGTAACCAATAATCGACAAGACAACTGGATTCAAACAACACACCTACGAAATCGATTCCAAATCGATTCCAGACAGCAACAAACAACTCCGGCAGTGAAATGCTACAATACTTAAAAACAATGCGATCCAATATAGCATGCAGTTTGGTCAATGAAAACATGAAATTTACGAGAAAACATCACAAGATGTGATGATTTACAAATTCAATGGTATTTGTGTACTGTATGCCAGACAATGTTTCATGCACAGAGATTAAGATTACATGTGTTTGTCTCAGAAAATAAGCCAGAAATAGCAATCAGCTGTTCACACATTTTCTTCCCTATTTATGGGTGATTTCCTTGCAACTAAAGTTCGTTTCATGGTGAGTTGATGTGATTTGCCAATGAGTTCAAACACGATTTCGCCGAAATTAATGTAAATAAAATTGAATGAAATCTTGGATAAAAGTAATATGGATTACAAATTAAGTCCAGATAGTGTATAGTCAGATAGTGTAATGACAGGACTGACTTGTGTACTTCAGTACAGATTTGTTTACATGCTTCTTCCATGTTGTGTGCTCATGATAATGTCTTCTCGTCGTGAAATATAATTAAAAGCTCATTATATGGGTGTATTATGCAAACACTGGTAGTCCAGTTGTAGCCAAATACTGTACTCCAGTATTTTACTCATCAACAAATACATTTATTTAGGGAGGCCCTTTCCCAGGTTGATTGTACACAACTGTTTATTTGGTTACAGATGTGTTTGAACAAACAAAACAACAAAAACACCACCCGACCACACTATTTTTATAAAAGCCATTGCCTGAGAACCAATTAGTTTATCTTTTAAGCCTTATTACTGAGTCATTAATAATCAGAGTTCACATTCATATCCAAGTTGACCTTTTTATCCAGGAAAGCACACATCTGCTACACATGCCAACAGCACATGGTCCCCCGATTGTACCGTTAATTGCCCCACCCTTGATCTTCTCTCTACCTAGGGCTCCCCAGAGGCTGATAGTAGGACCCAAGGCTGCAGCAAATGTCAGTAAACATTCCCCAAAACCTTCCCAATTCATGTTGATATAGAAACTTATACTTCACCTGTTCACAGATAACGTGCCCAATTAACATGAAAAAGGGGAAGCTCTTAATGCTTCATTTTAGATTTTATTAAATGGAATTCAAGGTTCAGAATACATTGATAAAATACTGTTGAATGTGAGAAAATAAGAACTTAAAAAAATCCCAATATTGAAGAAAATAATGATTTAATGCGAGGGGATATTTAGTTTGGAGTCCCGGGTATATCCCTGCTAACTTGTTACAAATAGTGGAATGTTGACAGGAGTAGCACCTTACCCACAACACTGACTTGGTTATCCAGGCCACTGGCAGGCCCGTGGAACTCCAGGAAGAGAGAGGGCGCCACTTTCATGTCAAACTTGCTGTACTTGTTGAAGGCATCAATAGTAACTTCATCCAAGAATTCTGAGAAAGTCAAGTATACTTATGTTCAAGATGTGACAAAGACTCAAACAGGTAGAATAAGCACTGTTCATATCTTTAGTTTATCAACCAGTGTAAAAAGACAACACTATATATTTTATCACACTCACTCTGACAAGTACTACATGCAAGCACAGCCAACTCATTACGTGAAGCTACCCTCCAACTACTCAATTATTCAGTGGTACAATTGTGTTCTACTTATACCAGTTTAGATTATAAAATACTATTATTATGAAATATTATTATGAGATACTGTATCTGGTATATAATAAAACATGATCTGTGTTTTGAGGTTTTCTTTCATGGAGCCTCACCTATTCTGGCCATGGGGATGCCACACTGCAGGACGTTGACAGTCGTGTCCACTGCCCCCTGGACTGTCTCAAAGTGGACCACGGCCGAAACGGTCTGATGGGAAAATAGGGCCAATCAGCACCTCATATTTTATACCAATCACATTGTCATTTTAATAAGGCAAATGCAAAGCACCTATTAGTGTGATACAGGGAAGTCTCTCTAAAAGAGAAAATTAATCAACATTTTCTTTCTTTCCAACATTATTTACATACAGTAAACAGTACCACAAGGAACCGCCATTTGGGTGAGTAATCCTTGACTGGAAACATTTTCATTTCCAAAGCACATTGACGGCATGAAATCTACGTCCCAACGTACTGCTTCAGGTATGCCATAGAGACGTAGTGTGGCCTTGGTGATGATGCCCAGGGTGCCCTCGGAGCCCACAAACAGGTTCGTCAGGTTGTAGCCTGCAGATGTCTTCCTGCAACATCCACATAGATAGAAGTAGTAGTTTCACAGTCTTCCTCTCATGGACTGAATAGTCTATGAAAAATCCTTTCTATGTGAAATAATCTGTTCCTGACTATGACCAATGTTTCATATGTTTGTGTGGTATCTACAAGTATGACCAATGTTTCATATGTTTGTGTGGTATCTACAAGTTTAACCAATGCTCCATATGTTTGTGTGGTATCTACAAGTTTAACCAATGTTTCATATGCTTGTGTGGTATCTACAAGTTTAACCAATGTTTCATATGTTTGTGTGGTATCTACAAGTTTAACCAATGTTTCAAATGTTTGTGTGATATCTACAAGTATGACCAATGTTTCATATGTTTGTGTGGTATCTACAAGTTTAACCAATGTTTCTTATGTTTATGTGGTATCTACAAGTATGACCAGTGTTTCATCAGTTTGTGTGGTATCTACAAGTTTAACCAATGCTCCATATGTTTGTGTGGTATCTACAAGTTTAACAAATGTTTCATATGTTTGTGTGGTATCTACAAGTATGACCAATGTTTCATATGTTTGTGTGGTATCTACAAGTATGACCAATGTTTCATCAGTTTGTGTGGTATCTACAAGTTTAACCAATGCTCCATATGTTTGTGTGGTATCTACAAGTTTAACCAATGTTTCATATGTTTGTGTGGTATCTACAAGTTTAACCAATGTTTCATATGTTTGTGTGGTATCTACAAGTTTAACCAATGCTCCATATGTTTGTGTGGTATCTACAAGTTTAACCAATGCTCCATATGTTTGTGTGGTATCTACAAGTTTAACCAATGTTTCATATGTTTGTGTGGTATCTACAAGTTTAACCAATGCTCCATATGTTTGTGTGGTATCTACAAGTTTAACCAATGTTTCATATGTTTGTGTGATATCTACAAGTTTAACCAATGTTTCATATGTTTGTGTGGTATCTACAAGTATCACCAATGTTTCATATGTTTGTGTAGTATCTACAAGTATGACCAATGTTTCATATGTTTGTGTGGTATCTACAAGTTTAACCAATGTTTCATATGTTTGTGTGGTATCTACAAGTATGACCAATGTTTCATCAGTTTGTGTGGTATCTACAAGTTTAACCAATGCTCCATATGTTTGTGTGGTATCTACAAGTTTAACCAATGTTTCATATGTTTGTGTGGTATCTACAAGTTTAACCAATGTTTCATATGTTTGTGTGGTATCTACAAGTTTAACCAATGTTTCATATGTTTGTGTGGTATCTACAAGTTTAACCAATGTTTCATATGTTTGTGTGGTATCTACAAGTTTAACCAATGCTCCATATGTTTGTGTGGTATCTACAAGTTTAACCAATGCTCCATATGTTTGTGTGGTATCTACAAGTTTAACCAATGTTTCATATGTTTGTGTGGTATCTACAAGTTTAACCAATGTTTGATATGTTTGTGTGGTATCTATAAGTTTACCCAATGTTTGATATGTTTGTGTGGTATCTACAAGTTTAACCAGGTTCATATGTTTGTGTGGTATCTACAAGTTTAACCAATGCTCCATATGTTTGTGTGGTATCTACAAGTTTAACCAATGCTCCATATGTTTGTGTGGTATCTACAAGTTTAACCAATGTTTCATATGTTTGTGTGGTATCTACAAGTTTAACCAATGCTCCATATGTTTGTGTGGTATCTACAAGTATGACCAATGTTTCATCAGTTTGTGTGGTATCTACAAGTTTAACCAATGCTCCATATGTTTGTGTGGTATCTACAAGTTTAACCAATGTTTCATATGTTTGTGTGGTATCTACAAGTTTAACCAATGTTTCATATGTTTGTGTGGTATCTACAAGTTTAACCAATGCTCCATATGTTTGTGTGGTATCTACAAGTTTAACCAATGCTCCATATGTTTGTGTGGTATCTACAAGTTTAACCAATGTTTCATATGTTTGTGTGGTATCTACAAGTTTAACCAATGCTCCATATGTTTGTGTGGTATCTACAAGTTTAACCAATGTTTCATATGTTTGTGTGGTATCTACAAGTTTAACCAATGTTTCATATGTTTGTGTGGTATCTACAAGTATCACCAATGTTTCATATGTTTGTGTGGTATCTACAAGTATGACCAATGTTTCATATGTTTGTGTGGTATCTACAAGTTTAACCAATGTTTCATATGTTTGTGTGGTATCTACAAGTATGACCAATGTTTCATCAGTTTGTGTGGTATCTACAAGTTTAACCAATGCTCCATATGTTTGTGTGGTATCTACAAGTTTAACCAATGTTTCATATGTTTGTGTGGTATCTACAAGTTTAACCAATGTTTCATATGTTTGTGTGGTATCTACAAGTTTAACCAATGTTTCATATGTTTGTGTGGTATCTACAAGTTTAACCAATGTTTCATATGTTTGTGTGGTATCTACAAGTTTAACCAATGCTCCATATGTTTGTGTGGTATCTACAAGTTTAACCAATGTTTCATATGTTTGTGTGGTATCTACAAGTTTAACCAATGTTTCATATGTTTGTGTGGTATCTACAAGTTTAACCAATGTTTGATATGTTTGTGTGGTATCTATAAGTTTACCCAATGTTTGATATGTTTGTGTGGTATCTACAAGTTTAACCAATGTTTCATATGTTTGTGTGGTATCTACAAGTTTAACCAATGCTCCATATGTTTGTGTGGTATCTACAAGTTTAACCAATGCTCCATATGTTTGTGTGGTATCTACAAGTTTAACCAATGTTTCATATGTTTGTGTGGTATCTACAAGTTTAACCAATGCTCCATATGTTTGTGTGGTATCTACAAGTTTAACCAATGTTTCATATGTTTGTGTGGTATCTACAAGTTTAACCAATGTTTCATATGTTTGTGTGGTATCTACAAGTTTAACCAATGTTTCATATGTTTGTGTGGTATCTACAAGTTTAACCAATGCTCCATATGTTTGTGTGGTATCTACAAGTTTAACCAATGCTCCATATGTTTGTGTGATATCTACAAGTATGACCAATGTTTCATATGTTTGTGTGGTATCTACAAGTTTAACCAGTGTTTCATATGTTTGTGTGGTATCTACAAGTTTAACCAATGCTCCATATGTTTGTGTGGTATCTACAAGTTTAACCAATGTTTCATATGTTTGTGTGGTATCTACAAGTTTAACCAATGCTCCATATGTTTGTGTGGTATCTACAAGTTTAACCAATGCTCCATATGTTTGTGTGGTATCTACAAGTTTAACCAATGTTTCATATGTTTGTGTGGTATCTACAAGTTTAACCAATGTTTCAAATGTTTGTGTGATATCTACAAGTATGACCAATGTTTCATATGTTTGTGTGGTATCTACAAGTTTAACCAATGTTTCTTATGTTTATGTGGTATCTACAAGTATGACCAGTGTTTCATCAGTTTGTGTGGTATCTACAAGTTTAACCAATGCTCCATATGTTTGTGTGGTATCTACAAGTTTAACCAATGTTTCATATGTTTGTGTGGTATCTACAAGTATGACCAATGTTTCATATGTTTGTGTGGTATCTACAAGTTTAACCAATGTTTCATATGTTTGTGTGGTATCTACAAGTATGACCAATGTTTCATCAGTTTGTGTGGTATCTACAAGTTTAACCAATGCTCCATATGTTTGTGTGGTATCTACAAGTTTAACCAATGCTCCATATGTTTGTGTGATATCTACAAGTATGACCAATGTTTCATATGTTTGTGTGGTATCTACAAGTTTAACCAGTGTTTCATATGTTTGTGTGGTATCTACAAGTTTAACCAATGCTCCATATGTTTGTGTGGTATCTACAAGTTTAACCAATGTTTCATATGTTTGTGTGGTATCTACAAGTTTAACCAATGCTCCATATGTTTGTGTGGTATCTACAAGTTTAACCAATGTTTCATATGTTTGTGTGGTATCTACAAGTTTAACCAATGCTCCATATGTTTGTGTGGTATCTACAAGTATGATCAATGTTTCATATGTTTGTGTGATATCTACAAGTATGACCAATGTTTCATATGTTTGTGTGGTATGTACAAGTTTAACCAATGTTTCATATGTTTGTGTGGTATCTACAAGTATGACCAATGTTTCATCAGTTTGTGTGGTATCTACAAGTTTAACCAATGCTCCATATGTTTGTGTGGTATCTACAAGTTTAACCAATGTTTCATATGTTTGTGTGGTATCTACAAGTTTAACCAATGTTTCATATGTTTCTGTGATATCTACAAGTATGACCAATTTTTCATATGTTTGTGTGGTATCTACAAGTTTAACCAATGTTTCATATGTTTGTGTGGTATCTACAAGTATGACCAATGTTTCATCAGTTTGTGTGGTATCTACAAGTTTAACCAATGCTCCATATGTTTGTGTGGTATCTACAAGTTTAACCAATGTTTCATATGTTTGTGTGGTATCTACAAGTTTAACCAATGTTTCATATGTTTGTGTGGTATCTACAAGTTTAACCAATGTTTCATATGTTTGTGTGATATCTACAAGTATGACCAATGTTTCATATGTTTGTGTGGTATCTACAAGTTTAACCAATGTTTCATATGTTTGTGTGGTATCTACAAGTATGACCAATGTTTCATCAGTTTGTGTGGTATCTACAAGTTTAACCAATGCTCCATATGTTTGTGTGGTATCTACAAGTTTAACCAATGTTTCATATGTTTGTGTGGTATCTACAAGTTTAACCAATGTTTCATATGTTTGTGTGGTATCTACAAGATTAACCAATGTTTCATATGTTTGTGTGGTATCTACAAGTTTAACCAATGTTTCATATGTTTGTGTGGTATCTACAAGTTTAACCAATGTTTCATATGTTTGTGTGGTATCTACAAGTTTAACCAATGTTTCATATGTTTGTGTGGTATCTACAAGTTTAACCAATGCTCCATATGTTTGTGTGGTATCTACAAGTTTAACCAATGCTCCATATGTTTG